CTAATCCCTTTATGATAGAAACTCTCAGAAGGTGCAGTTTTGTGACTTTTTTTTCCATTATAGATTTGTTCTGTTTAATCTTTTTTTAATGATTGAGCTTATCAAACAAAATTTCAGACAAAGACAGTATTGTAATTGTCATGAGAGAACTGGTGTGCTCATGGAACCTGACATGTTAGCATTTTTGGATGACAGTGAGGAGGGTAAATAAAAACAGTTTTCAAATGCAATCTTTTGTCTTAAAAAAGATCCCAACCAACATGGTAAAATATGAAAATACAATTACCCCGCTTATTTCCTATCCACACCCTTTCTACCAGATCTGTGGAGAAATTGCTTGAATAGAACTTGCATTACAACATGAACTTCAACATGAGAAACAAATTCATTTACATATATCGATCAGTAAAGAGCAGCAAAGATATTTCTATGACTAGTGAACCACAGTAAAAGTCATTAGCTAAAATTCGCTTGGTTATGCTCTAAAGCCCAGCTGCAATTGCACTGCAGAATGAATGCAAAAAATTTGGTTTTGGAGCAACTTAATCAGATTGAGATGCTGTGGTTTTCAACACTAAACAGTTCATTAATCTTGAAAACCCTGCAAATGAGGTTGAATAAAGCAATCCTCTATAGAAGAACACATAGCAATGTAAAACACTCGCTGTCTGATCAAATACTTGATACCAGTAGTTGTCACGTGGTGCAAGTAGTTTTTCTGTTCACTGGGTGATTTCTTTTTCCAATAGACCCAGGTTGGTTTGGTTAGTTTCTTTGCTTTTGGTGTTACATTTTTGGTCATACTTGTCTTGATCACATTTTCTCTAGACTGGACATTATTAGGACTTTTTCTTCCCCATTTTTATTAAGATACTACTTGACATATGCTCTTATTATACTGTGAAATCAGCATTTCTGTGATGACCTGACCAGAAACCAGTTGCGCCCCATTCTGTTTATTCCTCTTTTTGCAAAGATATCAAACCTATAACATTCTGTCTGCAGTCACTCTTGTTTGACTCAGTTTAGGATAACACCAACGTTAGTCTTGACTCTCCCTCCAGGGCCAACCTGAGAGTCTTGCAGGAGTCTTAGGACCCCTGCTGGCCTGGGACCCTGAGAGAGCTCAACCAATTACATCAACTGCAAAACTTTGAGAAATGGTGGGCTTCAGTAAAGATAAATAAACTGCGGTGTTCTCAGGATGCATACAACAAATACATTGTCAGGTTGAGGAAGTGGCCAAGACCAACAAGTCTTAATTTCCATAGAGGGAGGAACTGATAAAATCACAGGAACAGAGTTACAGAGGTTGAGGTTTACCACGTCAAACAAGATCCAGGACAAGGGTAATGCAGTGATGTCCCTGAAACAATCAAAAACATAAAACCAGGCCGTAGCATACTGGCAGGCAAAGCTTACATGGAACACCAGAGCCAAGCAGATGAAATAGTGGACAACAATGTGGGACAGACCAGCAAGAGTGTTTAAGAATAATAAGGCTAAGATTGTGTGGGACGTGCGAATCCAGACTGACAATCGGGTATTGTGAATTTAGACGAAATAGAAAAGAGAACAGCCATGGCATATATCGCAATCCCAAGCAACATCAGGAAGAAGGAACATAGGAAGCTTGAGAAATACCAAAGGGTCAAAGAGGAAATAGAGAAGTAGTGGGGGGGTCGGGGTTTGAGTGGTGACATTGGTCATCAGAAAGTAAACAAAATTAAAAACCATGTGTTTAACAGTTTTTATTTTACAAAATAGTTTTTGTAAAAACAAAAAAAAAACAATCAAAACCAGGTGTCTTTTCCCTTCTTCTTATCAACTACTTGATTCACTGCAATAATTTGTCTCAGAAACTTCCTAACGTGTAGTGGTATCACAAAATGTTAAAATGTTTGTGTGTGTTAAACTTTTATTAGGCACTGAAATGAAACTGCGTTCTGATGTTTATCATTCTGACCGGGCATCAAACCTTTTCTCACAACAGTTGAACTACTAGTTTCTTGCAATCTTGAATCTGTTAAGCAACACGCTCAGAGAAAGAGAAGTGAGAAGTTATATTCAGCACAGAGAACTACGGAAGGGAGATGATAAGGTCTGTTTTTACATCCACACAAGAAGTAAGTATTTAGCTTTATCTACTTTATGTTACACTTTGGATTGCAGTTGTTGTTTATTTTCACTATTGTCTGTATGACTATGTTTATGAGGAATGTCATTTATTTTTATTTTTATTTTATTTTATTTTTTAGAAAAAACTAACAATGGAGGTGGATTACGTTGAATACGATGATTACACTCCAAACAATGAAACTACAAACCTCCTGCAACAATCAGACAACTCTCAGTCCTCTCTGACTCTTGTTATTGCCGTGGTCAACATCTTCATATCGTTTCTTGGTCTGATAGGGAATGCTTTGGTGGTGTGGATCTGTGGGTGTAAAATGAAAAGAACGGTCATCACCACCTGTTACATCAGCCTGGCTCTTTCAGGCTTGTTTGTTTGTATCTTTTTGCCCTTTAACATTTTTTATTTGCTGACCTCAAACTGGCCTTTTGGGCAGGTTTTGTGCAAGTTCACCTCCTCTGCTTTGTTTCTCAACATGTACAGTAGTGTGTTTCTGTTGGTCATAATCAGCGCTGACCGTTGTGTCCTTGTTTTGTTTCCTGTGTGGGCAAACAACCACCGAACGGTGCACAAAGCATACGGAGCCGTCGCCGTGATGTGGCTTCTCGCTGGACTACTAACACTTCCTGCGGCAATTTTTAGAACCACCGCAGTCCAAGAATCCATCACCAAGTGCCAGTTGAATTACACCTCCATTTTCACATACAAGGCTGTGGTACTGGGTCGGTTCTTCTGTGGATTTCTTGTTCCTTTCTTGATTATTGTACTCAGCTGCGTGGTGATCGGTGTGAAGCTGAGAGCCTCAACCGTTCGATCCAAAAGGCCTTATAAAATCATGGTGGCACTCATCCTGTCGTTTTTCTTCTGCTGGGTCCCCTACCATACTTTTGCCCTCATGGAAATGAACCTTAAGAAACACAGGCTAGATGTTATTGAGGCTGGAATAAAAGTGGGGAACACCCTGGCAGCAGCTAATGCCTTCATATCCCCCATTCTCTACGTGTTCATCGGCAATGACTTCAAGCGAACTCTGAAGCGCTCTGTGATGTCAAGGTTTGAGGAGGCGATGGCTGAGGATATCCGCACGACTGGGTTCAATCACTCAAGATCCAAATCAATGGAAATAATTCAAACTCACACTATTTCCTAAAAAAAACAACAAAAAAAAACATATTGTATCTTGATCTTCTTTAAGTTGATTTAAATCTTTAGCTGTGAAAAACACAAAACATGTATTTTTTATTTAAACTTTTTGATGGCTTTTAATTATTTTTGCTATCCTTTGTAACTGAAACAAATGCTGTGGTTGTAACTAAATGAATTATCTACAATAAACTGTTGTTCTATGCACTAAAAAGTAAGTATTTTATTAAAATTCAATGTGCATTCTATATATTTAAATTGTTTGCTCACATACAAAAAAAAATGAACAGTCTCATGGTTGTTTTACTGAGACAAACCAAAATATACAAAGAACATACTGAATAAACACTCAAAATTTGTATGTTATTTAATAGTGAAAATATTTTATTCTCCGAACAAAACGTGACTTAACTTGGTTGAAAAAGTTTTATTGGTAAGGGTAATTTTGTGTAGTTAATCACCATAATTTCCCTAGGTGGATGCCAATTTCCACTGCTCCTAAACCCATGGTGTTATTACTGAAAGTTTTACTTCAAAAAATATCAAATATACTACTAAAACAATTCAGCATTTGCTCACTAGCTTGCTTTAGACCAAAGTGTAGCAGAATAATAGAATGTTAAATCCATCAAATGTGAACAATATAAAAGAGATGATAGTGCTGCTGTGTGATTAGTAGTTATAATGCATAATAATGTTCCCCAAATCGAATTAAGCTTAGTGCCTCAGACAAATGAAAATTATTATGAGGAGTAAGAATCATATCTCCAACTCCAGTGGCCCGGCTTTCAATCATACAGTCAGTCATAGGTTTAAAGAGACAAATTGGGTCAATAAGTAGTACTTGCCAACCACTGATTGTGTCATCCAGTACACATTACTGTGAAATTTTATCTCTGCTGCTCAGATATTGAACTGTTACCATGTCATGACTGTCAAACAGCAAGAGCCTTAAATCAGAAGCTTCTTGAGATTCGTTGCAAGACTGACCTCTACTGGAGTACTTCCTGCTCACAGGACAACTCTATGAAGATATTTGGAGGCTATAAGATTCCTTTCGGTGTAAATAAAGTTGTTGTTGTTGTTGTTGTTGTTGTTGTTGTTGTTGTTGTTTTTGTTGTTTTTTAATGAGCTGAACTGAATTAGGTATGTATTTAAAATTTTAGGTTCTTAGAAGTGAGATTGTTAAATGGTAAAAACGAAAAAAAGTACAGATTTGAAAGTAATATCCATTTGATTACAGACCATCACATATTATCAATAGATTACAGTAAACAGATTAGTAAAAGTAAAATTGATGGTGTTAGAGAAAGTCTAGCTCAACACGCCCCCAACGTTCCCCCAAAGGAAGCTACCAGATTAACTTGCGGATGTGATGCAATCAGCTGTGAGTTTTGTCCCCTAGTAGTTACAGCGCCTTACGATTTTCAGCTACTACCTGGTATTTTACAAACAGCTTAACTGAATTGGAATTTAGCTTCGTTAATGTTTACATTTTACTTTCAGTTTTTCTATTAAACAGTCCGTACAGCTGTCCTTCTCGCTTGCTAACGTTAGCGTAGCTTCCGTTTCCAGATGGACGCCAGCTGAGCTGAGCTAGCAGCTGGTGATTTTCTTTTTGTTTTTGTTTTTTATCCCTCCTCCCCGTTCACTTTTCTGCTGCTTGTCAGCGACCACCAATTCAGTCGGACTCCCCTATGTGTCTACTTCGGGGGCTGGCAGAGAAAGTTCAGTTGCAGTAGATAAATGGCCGCCGCTGCCCCCTCTGCTCCTCCTCCGGCAGCAGCCTCTGGTTCTGCTGCGGCCGCTGCTGAAACCTCCAGTCCGGGAGGATCCAGCAGCTCGACCGCTGCCGACGGCGGCAGCCAGGACAGCACTTTTGAATGTAACATCTGTCTGGACACCGCCAAGGATGCCGTGATCAGCTTATGCGGACATCTTTTCTGGTGAGATTCAACTGGGATTTTTGTGTATCGTTAGAATCAGAGCAGAGTATCAACATGCTGGACTGCTTTTAGTTAGAATCTAATAGAATCAAAAATTTTGAAGTTAAACAATTTCAGACATGCAGATAGTATTTAACTTTAGTTGTAAAAAAAATTATTTACAAAAATGCAATTTAGGATTGTTTTTTTTTTACACTCTCTATAGGAGAATATACCACTAACTAAATAACATATTTTTGGAATTTTCATCCTAATAAAATCATACATGATTATATTTACTTCCAATTGAATGTGGCTACAAAGAGCTATTTTTAAATAAAAACAGTAAAGCTTAAGCTAAATCCAGTGTATTTTGTCTCATAATGTTTTTTTATGTCAATGTCACATTTATTTGTGTAGCACATTTAAGTTTTTCAAAATGTTCACCAACCCCCATGACATAAAACAAAGAATAAAACAATGAAAATAAAAACTCTGAGGTGTTAAACGGCACACAGAACACAAGTTGATTACTATAGTTGAATTATCCTGATGAACCAGTAAATCTGTTAAAAAATAATAATAATTCTAAAGTTAAGTTGCAAACATTGCTACAAAAATATCCGTTATATGTAGTTGAGAAGCAAATTATTATTTTGCTTTTGTAGAACAAAAACAATTGACTAAAATGTATAACGTTATTTTGTGGTGGAACTCTACAACTTAAACTCATCAGTCTTTAGTAATGACAGCATTATCAGTTTTATGCCGCAGTTAGTTAAATTAAAAAATGTCTGCCTCCGATTGCTTTGTTTGAATTTTATTTAGCATTTTTCAGTCAAACTCTTTGATCAAACTCTTTCCTTTTCTGTGCTCTTTGTAGCTGGCCTTGTTTGCATCAGGTAAGCTGGATCTTATTTATCCCCTTCCAAAAAAAAAAAAAATTCCGCAAACTTTACAAAATAAGTTGTTAGCTCAATAGCATCACTTCTTGCTCATGCAGTGGCTGGAAACTCGACCTAACAGACAAGTGTGTCCAGTTTGCAAAGCTGGCATCAGCAGAGAAAAAGTGATTCCTTTATATGGAAGAGGAAGCACTGGACAACAAGATCCCAGGTGGGTGCTGTAACCTGTTGACACAGATGTAGCGAAGACTAAAACTTGATATATTTTTTTTTGTTATAATACACATTATGACACTCGGAGGTTAAAAATGTCACATTAAGTTTCTGTAAGGCTCTGTCACATCAGATTAAGACTGCAGGACACAGAGCAACTGGATGTTGTAGGGCAGTCTTAATCTGGTGGGATTAAATAAGCAATTTTCAGAAATTTAACTGTATATTTTCTTCCAAACGTTTTTTTTTTTTTTTTTTTTTTTTTAAAAAGGGAAAGAACACCCCCTCGACCTCAAGGACAAAGACCAGAGCCCGAAAACCGTGGCGTAAGTAAATGAAAAGGCACAGCTGCATGAGCCAAACACAGTATGTCGTGTTCTTATTTTAGATTGGCATCACTATGGTTTTGCCTTCATTTCCTAATTCACGTCAGCTGCTGAGGAAATCCATCCATTCATGATGAAACCCTTACATATGTCTGCTGCGGGGCGTACCTGTGTTTTATTCATTAGCAGTCTGACACACTTCCCACTGGGATCCATTACACTTTAACAGTCGAGTTGAAGCTCCTCTCAAGAGAATCCCCACAAGTCTTACAGCTCATTGCGTCACGCCTCACTCACTGTCTGTTCTAACACGTTTCTAATGACATCTCGCAGGGCTTTCAGGGCTTTGGCTTTGGAGACGGTGGTTTCCAGATGTCATTTGGAATCGGCGCCTTTCCTTTCGGTATTTTTGCCACAGCTTTTAACATCAACGACGGCAGACCTCCTCCAGGTAGCGGCACATTTCACCCTGAGCTTTTCGTTTTGTGCGTCTTTTGAAACGGCGGCGCCACTAACCTCTGCTGACCTTTTGCAGCGGCTCCTGGAACGCCACAGCACACGGACGAGCAGTTTCTCTCTCGACTCTTCCTGTTCGTTGCTTTGGTGATGATGTTTTGGCTGCTGATTGCATAAAAGCTTTGGAAACTGGACAGGTTGTTGTCACTTCAGATTGGACAGAGATTTTGTTTAATGTTTTATGTCGCTCCTTTTGAAATGCAGTTGAAACCAGATGTTTTACACGCCACAGTATAAAATGACATAACTAGTGTAACTGAGTTATTCAGATGAAGGGTTTGCGGTGGATTCTCCGTAATGCTGACACCGTTGAACGTCACTTTGTTTGTAATGACCAAACACTTCAGTTTTGGTTTCATTAGACAACAGACTATGTCTTATAAACTTCAGACTGGAGTCTCCTGTTGATATTTCTGGATAATTGTTTGACCAGATGAACTTTGCACTTTCAGGTTTTAGGAAATTGTACCTGAACATAAACCGTACTTGTGGAGATTCACTGTTCACGCCTTGGTTTCTCTTATTTTACACAAGGAAGCATTGTGTTTGTGCCCGAGATAGATCCGTATGTATGCCTCAGTTTAAGCCAAATGTGAATTAAACTTTACAAAGTCATAACTTTTGGCATTTCCAAATTGTTTAGAAAGAGAAGTAACTCACTGTTTCGGTAATTAGCGAATGACAATTATTTTATATAATTCTAACCTAAAAAATGAAAAGTTTAGTCTGATTTAATACTCTAAGGGATAAATGTATTCTATACAATGTAAATATCTGGTTTTAACTGTGTTTATTGATTTTATTTAGTTTGAAAAATTCCTGTGGTATTTAAACAGATCTGAACATCTGAGCTAATTTCCCTTTAAATAGGGACTGTGTAAAGTTGCAGCTCATTCTGTAATCTAGACCTGTTAATGGGATGTGTCTTTGCAAAACCAATACAAGAAAACCAGTCGGTTCAAATCTACTGTAGATGTGTGAAATTACTCATCATTCAGAAATCTGTACAGTGAAACAACAGCTGAGTTGCAGAAAGACTGGAAGTCTAATAGTCTGTGTTGGTCAGCAGGATTGATTTTGAACAAAATCTAAAGATACTGATGATTTTTTATTTATTTTTTTGTCCTAGTCTTAATTTAGTTACCCAAATCAGACTCTTGAGCAGTCATAACATTTTATTCAAGCCTTAAATAGATATGTGAATACTCATACTGACTGTGCTTCTATTTATGTCCACCTTGGGGACACTGGAAGCGGTTTCTTTAGAAAAACCTAAATACTGGAAACTGCTAACCAGTGATTAAATGCGCTGGTACATAATGGATTCAG